GGACGAGTGCAAACTTTCGGATGACTCCGTAACCGTGAATGTATAGTCTTCTTTGAGTCTTCACTTCGCGGGTGTTCTTTGGGTATTGTTGTATGTGGACGCACTGGGAATCTATAGTAGACGCTCTGCTGGGCGCTCCTCAAAGAACTCTGACAAACACATTCAGTCTGAACCCTTATCTCGCCGGATATTGACATGAGCGCAGATGTTGCCATTCTCCCAAAAACATCAAGAAGCAGCCAGACAATTTGTTGAGATTTCGAGCAAATGCTTGTTTAGTTTGGGGTGGCTGAGCCATCATTTATTTTTTGGAAAGGCCAAGCAATAATCGAGTTGTTCTGCGCGGTGATGTTTGAAGATAAGGAAACCTTCAGCTTGAATGATGCCTACTTGCTTCCTGTGCGCGTTTGCTCGGAATGGCGCCCATGGTGCAGCGATTGTCAGCATGCTGACTTACATGCAATGAATGAGACACATTCAGCTCGAGCGCAGACGTGCCCAATTCACTCATGGCGTGCATTCGCTTGCTGGATGGCACGGATGTGGTGACGACGGCAGAGTATTTTCTGTTGCGGGAGGAGTTGCGCGGACAGGAAGATGGGGATTGCTTTTTCAACACGTTGCGACGCCACCTGGCCAAGAGATTCTCAATTGCCCATTGGTATCTAGGTTTCTTTTGTTTTGATTGTTTATTCAAACATGCTTTCCTTTCTTCCAGTGGCAACTGACCAAGTAAGGATTGCTTTTGCCGAATTTTATGCAGCTCGCTTTGGCTGGCGACCGAGGCATGTTGGGCCCAGAGTGTACGTGGGAGAATGCTGAGTGCTTGACGGCCATTAAACGCCAATATGTTGAAACAGCGACAGGCGAAGCAACATGCATCGACTTGCTGCAAGCGGCGGGAACAGGTGACGCAAAACATGTGATTGTGCTGTTGGAGAAGCCTCATGATCCCAACGCTGCTGACAGAAACAGTCATGTGACACCTTTGTTTAATGCTTCCGCAAACGGCCATCTGGAAGTTGTGCAGTGCTTGCTGGATGCCGGTGCGGACAAAGAAAAGGCAGACAGTCATGGCGCGACGCCGTTGTTGCTTGCTGCAGATCAGGGCCATCATGCGGTTGTGCAGTGTTTGCTGGAGGCCGGCGCTGACAAAGAGAAGCCGACGAATGAGGGCGCCACACCGTTGCACATTGCTGCTGGGCGGGGCCATCAGGCAGTCGTGCAGTGCTTGCTGGATGCCGGTGCTGACAAAGAGAAGGCAAACAATGATGGAGCCACATCGTTGCATCTCGCTGCAGACTACGGCCATCAGGCAATCGTGCAGTGCTTGCTGGATGCCGGTGCTGAGAAAGGTAAGGCAGACAATGATGGCGCCACACCGTTGCACTTTGCTGCTAGGTCGGGCTATCAGGCAGTCGTGCAGTGCTTGCTGGATGCCGGTGCTGACAAAGATAAGGCGGACCGTGATGGCACCACACCGTTGCATTATGCTGCACGTGATGGTCATCAGGGTGTTGCGCAGTGCTTGCTGGATGCCGGTGCTGACAAAGAGAAGGCAGACAACGATGGCGCCACACCATTGCATCTCGCTGCAGACCAGGGCCATCAGGCAGTCGTGCAGTGCTTGCTGGATGCCGGGGCTGACAAAGACAAGGCAGACAACGATGGTGCCGCACCGTTGCATTATGCTGCACGTGATGGTCATCAGGGTGTTGCGCAGTGCTTGTTGGATGCCGGTGCTGACAAAGACAAGGCAGACAATGATGGCGCCACACCACGGCGTATTGCTGCTGTTCAGGGCTATGAGGCAGTTGCGCAGTGCTTGCTGGACGCCCCTGCTACTAAGAGAAGGCGATTAGCTTCAGTACAGTTTGCTCCATAGCCGGATTGTGTTTGTTATTGAGTTGTCGAGTGCTTGCTACCAGCGGCGCTTCCAAAGCGAAGCAGACAACTGTGGTCACGGAAATCCAGTGTGGTGTTCTAGACTCTGGAATAGCCAGGCGGAAGCAGTGTGGTTGTTGAGCACAAAGCGGATCCGGCAAATTTGTAGGTATTGCAGGTTTATCAACCCAACGCCATGATAATTCTTTCAAGGGTTTCCCTTGTTTCTTGCAAAGCTTCTAGGCAGGAATCTGCCATATCAAAAGACAAACTGGAGAGCAAGATAGCATTGGTCTCAAGCCTTGTGGTTTTATGATCCAAGCCCAAGGACGACCAAGCCCCATAAAAGTGGTTGCTTTTCCTTTGACAGATGTCAACTTTCTTCCCTCCCTTCAATCAGGTTACTGTGAAAGCTGGCTTCCTGAATGTGGGACAGCGGCTGAGTTGTGGTCATTGTGTTATTTCAACCTACATGGGCGGCTACATGGGCAGTTCACCAAAATAAATCTTGTGCTGCATTGTCAACCCAAAACAAAGCGCAGCTTCCCGGCCCTGTACCATGGTTGTTGTTGGGAAACATGTTTTTTACAGTGTTGCTTGTAGTGGTTTGGCAATCCCCACTTGACTGCTAAACAATTAAATTGTTGCTTCCCTTCCAACGTCAACCAAGGTACCCTGACGTGTTGTTTGACTTTCCAAATACCAGGACCCTGCCCGGACCAAGCTCGGCGCCGATTTTTCTTGAACTCGCGCACAGACACATAGCGGGGATGGAGTGATAGCCCCATAGCGGGTGTTTCTCGATACCCGTTTTGGTCGCCCTAAAGGAACCCAAGAACCCAAGAGGAAAAACGATATCCGTTTTGCAGGTTCCACTGTGAGACAAAGCCATCGAAAGAGAACGCTGCCCTAAAAAAACGTTTGGGGTTTGGTGCGAAGGCTCATTTCACAGTTGCTTTTTGCACCAATGTTTTTTGCTGTTGTTAAAGCTTTTATCATTTGGAGATGTGGACAGCTTTCACAGAGCCTGGCAGTTTTGCAGTCGGTTCAGCAGATGTGCCATCAAAGAAATCACTGCTTGAAGAGAACTGGCTGGCGTCCATTGTGTTGCGTATAAAATGCTTGAAGAGCCGAGCGCAAGCAACCTTTCGATGACTGGGCACTGGAGATCCACATGCATATTTGGAAAGGATTGATGCTGTTTGCGTTCAAATCTTAAGTGGACTGTTTTTTTTACAAGCGAGCAAGCTGCCTCTCGTCGTTTTTTTCGCTAGACACACGCAGAAAGGATGCGAAATGGGCGAGCCCGGCTTGTCGTTGATTTTTTGCATCGTGAATGGACACCGCCGGCAAACCTATCTTGGTGAAATATAGCGACCTCACACGACCTCACCCCAAATGGTGGTTTATGTGGGGAACAGCCCCCCAACCACATTATTTGAAGTTGGTGAAATATTATTTGTTTCTGTCAGGACTGAACAACTTTTTGCCAGCTTTTAGGGGTTTTCCGCCAGCAAACCAATTGAATCCGTGCAGTCGGGGGTCTAAAAGGCCTCGTCTCATTGCGAGACACTGGAGTTCTCCACTCAGCCAACGCCCAAGAGATGTTCTGGGTGGTTCCCAGCCATCTCCAGCCATCGTTTTAGCCTTTTAGTGTTTAGTGGCAGTTTCCGAATTTAAGCCATCTCTTACAGAAACCCCAGGAACCACACACTCCTGATGATATTTTTGGGCCGTGTCTTGTTTTAGTGGTCCCAAAGAAAGCTTGGCTTCCTTCTGGTCTCCCTTTTAAAGCCCAACAACAATGGCCACTGCATGGCTGTTGTTGGGAACATGTTATATTTTTGCTTATGGTGGTTTAGTGGTTGAAATCCCCACTTAACTCCTAAAAAGAACATGTTTTGCTCCCCTTCCAACGTCAACCAAGACTGTTTCGACAAAAGGACGAGGCACCCTCAAAAATTGGCCCAGACCGACACCCGAATATCGCAGGTCACCAAACCTCGACGCGCTGCTCGACGAGGGCGGGAGTGCTGTCGAAGCGGGATGCCGAAACACCCTTCTTCCATTGGCTGACATGAATGTGTTTTTCTCTTCCCCGTGTTGGTCAAGGAAATTCTGTCACTTGGATATATGTTATGGTGTTTTTAGGGGACTGGCTGAAATGGGTGTGGCTCAAAATTAACGAGCTAGGGATACGCGGTTTTAGTCTTTGTTTTCATTTACCAGGGTTCAATTTTGGGTTCCCATTTTTGACCCACTGCCAAATTAATATGTTTTGTTTTGAAGGAAATTCTGTCACTTGGATTTTCCAGGGGGCTAAATGGAGGACTCGGAATTGACAATCATTCAATGCATGCACGGGCACAATGATGTTCACAACCCCAGATGTTCATATGTATATATATGTATATACATACATACATACATACATACATACATATATACATACGTATATACACTAATATTGTACAGTAGTCCAGTAGAGCCGGTAAAGCCGGTTAGCGAAAGTTTCAATCGTATATGAAATATAGGTATTTGTCTCCTTCCCGTTTTTGCTTTCTCTCGCTCTCTCTCTCTCTCTTCTCTCTAGCGCTCTCTCTCGCTCTCTCTGTCTCTCTCTCTCTCTCTCTCTATTTATCTTTCTTTCTTTATGTCTCTTTTTGTTTCTCGTGCTTTTTGTTCTCTCGTTGTTTGTCTTTATCTTTCTCTTGTTTCTTTCTTTCTTTCGTTCGTTCGTTCGTTTGTTCGTTTGTTCTGTCTTTATCTATCCATCTACCTATCTATCGATCTACTTTAGTACTTTAGTACTGCCAAATCTACTTTAGTACTGCCAAGGCCCCCTCTCAGATTCCCAGTACTTACTATTTTGTATTGCCAATTCTACTTCAGTATTGCCAAAGCTCCCTCTCAGATTTTCAGTACTTACTTTCGACTTGCAAGTGGTTGAGCTGAGCTGTCCCCTTAGGCATTTTCTTGCTGTTGCTTTTGCTTAGCTCCAGCCCGCGTTCACTTTCTGCTGGCTAAGTGTCTCAGCTGCATTTGTTTAGCTTGATTTGAGTAACGAACCCTCAGCCCAGGCCATGAAGCAGCACCTCAAGAACGTGCTCTCTTCCTGAGCTTCCTTTTGCTCAGTGGCATCACTGCTCGTCACTGCGCTGCAATAGGGGGGGACGGGGGGAGGGGAAGGGAGGGAAAGGAAAAGGGTTGAGTTGAGAGGGTTTTTGAAAGGTTTCCCTGAGAGGTTCTCAGTTTGAAGGGTTTTCCTGAGGGGGTTTCCTTTGAAGGGTTTTGCTGAGAGGGTTCTTAGTTCGAAGGGCTTTTCTGAGAGGGCTTCTTCGCTTGAGAGGGCTTCTTGGCTTGAAGTTCTTGAAGGGTTTTTCTGAGAGGGCTTCTTAGTTTGCATGAGGGGGTTTCCTTTTGAAGGGCTTCCTGGGAGGGTTTCTTTTTGAATCTGAGGGGTTTCTGATTGAAATATTTGTTTGAGAGGGTTTGTTTTTGACGGATTTTGCTGAGATGCCCTTAGTTTGATTTTTCGGAGAAATGAGATGACACTGAAAACAACTCTGGCAGCCGCAAGCGTTTCTGCAAAACTCGTAGGCGATCGGAAGGTCCTGCGTAAGCTTCATGCGTGAGTCACACGTCGTAAGCTTCTCGTAAGCTCTGTTTGTCAGACCCGTTTTTCGTTCAGATTGCTTGGTAGAAGTTGTTTTGGTCCGTACAACGCTTTTAGGCGTGAGAATGGGATCAGATTGCGGGAATGGGTTCTTTCGAGCAACAAGGAAAGGGACCGTTTCAGTGAACAACTTTTCTGGCTCAGACAACTGCTGTTTGACCGTTGGGTTTCTTGCGCAAGCCATTTGCATTTTTTCCACCCACAGCGTGTTGGCCAGCTTGAGGGAAAAAGCTTGCGCGTGGAAAACAGTTTGTCGAGCCCCGAAAGTTTTTTGGGGGCCTCTCCTTTTTGTTTTTTGCGGGCTTGGAAAACAACATGTTGAGCCGCGGGCTTGCTTTTTGTGACTTTACTTGTTACGTTTGGGCCTCGGGCTTGGAAAGCACCAGCAATTTTTTCGAGCCCAGAACAGTTTTCTTGGCTGCGAGGCACCTTTTACAACCGGCAAGCATTTTTAGGGTGACGCTTTGACACCCGCTTCAATGTTGCCCACAAAAAACTTCATCGCGTAGTGGCTAAGATCAAGCTTCTCATCCTGGCCCGAGAAAGTGTGAGGGCTTGATTCTGCGTGACAGTTTGTGGTTGAAAGCGCCTTTGCGCTTGTTTTGTAGCCCAAAGTGCTCGCGTCTGAAAAAGAGCTTCCCCTTCCAAAAAAATCGAGCCCATATTTTTTTGGTTGCGAGGCGCTGTTTACCACCGGCAAGCAGTTTTCAGGGCGAAGCCCAAAAAGCTCACGGCGAGAACAATTCAGCACGCGGTGCTCCCCACAGCCCTCGCAGAACCTCGTCGTGGAACCTCGTCAAACCCTAGTTGAACCCTGCTAAAAAACCCTTGTGGAACCCTGGTAGAACTGGTTCAAGGCCGCCCCGGACCACCCCGGAGCCGATCTGGGCTAAGACCCCAATGCTTTTAGCTGTTGGGAAATTTGTTGGAGCCCCGAAAAGTTCCCACCAAATCCTTTACAACACTGGCTCCCGTTTCGTCTCTCCTCAGCCTCCTCTATTGCAAGTTGGACCTTGTGCTCAAAACAGCTGCTAAGTGAGTTGAGCTCAGTGATCATGGTCTCAAGCTCCTCAGCTCATCGCACTTGTTCTCTTCGCTGTGGATCTTACTGGCCTCCTCTTGAAAAGCAAGCAAAGGTCAGCCTTTTTGAGGTAGTCAGCCACCTCACTGAGCTTGTGTCTGAGGCCCTCATCCTTCTCCGCCTCAGCCTGAAGAAACAGCCCAAACTTCAGGACGTTGGCCCAAGACAGCCTCTCCTCTACACCTGCTCAGCCTGCCAGCTCGCGGATCACACAAGGTGTCTGCCACGGGAGCCGGCTCAGCCAAAGCTTAGTGGTCTGCCATTTTCCTCACCTTACTTTCAACTAAGCAAAGAAACTGAGCAAGCAAGATAGTCAGCCATAAGCCTTAAAGCTGAGCAAAGCAATTACAGGAAATCTCAGGCTGAGGCGCAGTGAGCACCAAACGTCTCAGGCTCATCCCGCTGCGCCCGGCTGAAGGTGAGCATGGTCTTAGGGCCTGCAACTGAGCCTGCAAATGCAAAGAGCAAGCAAATGAGCAATGCAAAAACCCCTGTTACCCGTAAAGGAAATTTCTCCAGCTTCCGCAATCGTTTGCGAACGGCTTCCGCCAACCCAAAAGTTGCTTACGCTGGCCAGCTTGCGGACAGCTTACGACAAGTTGCTCGTGCCTGATCCCCCGCGAGCAAGAAGCGCCAGTGTGACAAAGCAACAGCTTGCAGATGGACAGGCGCGCAGGCTTTGCTGCGCAGGCTCAGCAGTGACATGGAAGGCCGAAAGTTCATAGCCAGGAAACCAAAACGCTTAGAGGTTGCGTCGAAGGGAAACATAGTAAGTCCACCACTTGCAGGTCCAACATGCTGAGCCACTGCCCTGGCGCAGAACACGATGTGGCCCCCACACAGGCGCGCACCAGTTCTCCCAAGGGTGTCCAGTTTCCGTGCGCCCGTCCAGGAGCTTGGGACTGTCAAAAGCACCCTTTGTCCAGCCCGTTTTGAGGGGGTGTGCCTGTGTGTTTGTTTTGGCGGAGGCAAGTTCTGGCGCGGAGAGCGCAGAGGCAAGAGCCTGAATCATCGAGGGTCGGGAAAAACTTTTCGAGCCCTGAAAAGTTTCCCACCAAATCCTTTACAACTCGGTGTGGCTTCGCCCCTTCCCTGGGAACTGGCTGGCTCCTGTTTTCTTGCAGGTCAAAGCCTCTTACCAAGTTTGTGCGTTGGGGGTGCGGCGATTTTGTCAGAAGCATTTTGTAAGCCATGTGTAAGCTGTGCCAAAGCCTTCCCTTTTTGGTTTCCCTTCCAACAGAATGAAGGACGTTCCCCCATGTGATGTGGATTCAATTGCATTTGCAGGCTCAGTTGCAGGCTGTACGGGCTGAGCAGGTGTACAAAGCAGGAGACCAACGTCCTGAAGTTTGGGCTGTTTCTTCAGGCTGAGAAGGAGAAGGATGAGGGCCTCAGACACAAGCTCAGTGAGGTGTCTGACTACCTCAAAGAGGCTGACATTTGCTTGCTTTTCAAGAGGAGGCCAGTAAGATGCACAGCGAAGAGAACAAGCGCGATGAGCTGGAGGACTTGCAATAGAGGAGGCTGAGGAGAGAATGCTCCCTCCTCCAGCAAAGGCAACATGCCCAGTTGTAAAGGCTTAGCCTGAATCCACCTGCGTCAGGTTCAGCGCCAGATGTTGTGTTTTTAAGATGTTTGGTTTGACCAATCCTGGACTAAGCACTTTTGGCATACATTTGTTTGTCGGCTGAAATTTCAGCCGGAATCTGAAATTTATCAAATTTCAACTGAAGTCACAGAAATTTGCCGGAATCAGCAAAAACAGCCGTAATAAGAACGCTGAGGCTCAAGGAGAATAATACTCATAGCCGCCAAAATGGGCTCAAGGAACTTTCGCCGGAATTGCGGAAAGTTTGGCGACACAAGCCGCCAAACAAACAAACTGCCAGTTGAAGAATTGCCGGAAATGCAAAAAAGACACTTTTTCGAAAAGGCTATTATTCCGGTGCATGTTGGGTATGTTGAGATGGGAAATGGTCACTCAGTGCAGCAGGAAAAGGGGAAATGCACCCCACCCTCTCAAACATTCCTCACATGAAGCTTGCTTAGATTCTCACTTCCTGAGTGGGATTGCCATGAAACCTTGTGAGCGAATTGAATTTTGCTTCTGACACCTCTCACAGCCCTGCAGTGCCAGTTCAGGGACTTTGGGCCGAGCTACTCAGCCTTGGCCTCGGCTTTTAGTTTGGGTGGCGAAGGGATTTGTTTTGGGATTAGCTTTGAAAGGTTGCGTCAGTTTGAGGGTTTTTTTCCGAGAGGGTTCTTGAAAGGTTGCCCTGAGAGGTTCTTAGTTTGAAGGAAGGTTTCTAAGTTTCAATTCGTTGTGTGAGAGGGCTTCTTTTGAAGGTTTCGCTGAGAGGTTCTTCGCTAGCTCCTAAGCTAAGTGCAACTTTTGGATCTAAGCCAAAGACTCAGCAACATGTGATCCGCAGGATGTCCATAGGCACCTGTCCCAAACCCTGAGGCCTTGCAAACATAGTTGGGCTGCTGAATTGAGTCTAAGTTGTGCTCAGGGTAGAGAGCCTCCCTTTTAAGAGACTGACCCGGAAAACCCCTTACTCTTGGCTAGTTACAAAGGGTTGCGCTCTGAGGGGGAGCTGGGGATGTGCTGCTGACGGCCAGCATCTTGAGTGTCCAAAGCAACCAGTTCTATGAACGGTTGCTAAGTGCATCAAAGAGCAACATGGCTGGGTTGAAGTCTTGAACTAAGCCCTCTCTTCTTGAGGCCTTGGATGGGTCACAGATGATGAGACCTTCATGGCTCCTCACCAACCCGGCAACGCCTGAGCTCAAGGAGCTCATGTTTGCTTCTGAGACTGGGACTGCGCACGCAGGACGCCAAGCTCCTGAGCAAGGCTGGACCACCAGCCACCAGCTCAACAGGAGCTACCAAGGCTTAGCAATTTTAGCCTGAGCCTAAGCAAAATCAGAGTTATTGTTGTTGGTTTGTTGTTCCTAGTTGTCTCTCTCTCTAGCTATCTACCAATCTCTTTCTCTGTCTCTCTGTCTCTCTCTCTCTCTCTCTTTCTTTCTCTTTCTCTGTCTCTTTCTCTGTCTCTTTCTCTTTCTCTTTCTCTTTCCCTTTCTCTTTCTCTTTCTCTTTCTCTCTCCCTCTCTCTCTCTCTCTCTCTCTCTCTCTCTTTCTTTCTCTCTCTCTGTCTCTCTTTCTCTCTTTCTCTCTTTCTCTCTTTCTTTTTTCTTTCTTTCTTTCTTTCTTTCTTTCTTTCATTCATTCTTTCTTTCTTTCTCTCTTTCTCTCTTTGTCTCTTTCTCTCTTTCTCTCTTTCTCTCTTTCTCTCTTTCTCTCTGTCTCTCTGTCTCTCTGTCTCTCTGTCTCTTTGTCTCTCTCTCTCTGTCTCTGTCTCTCTCTCTCTCTCTCTCTCTGTCTCTGTCTCTGTCTCTGTCTCTGTCTCTGTCTCTCTCTCTCTCTCTCTTTCTTCTCTGTCTGCCTTTCTGTTTGTCTACCTACCTATGGCTCTATCTCATCCACCCATATCTATCTATCTCCCCTAATACATTTACGAATCTATCCAGCCTACCCGCCTACGTACCTAGCTAATCTGTCTATCTGTTTGTTTGTCTGTCTGTCACCTCTTCAGTTCCGCCCCCTTTCGGTCCCCCTCAGTCCACTTCAGTTCTTTTCAGTCCTCTCGGTCCTTCAGTCTTCAGTCCCCTTCAATCCCCTTCAGCCCCCTTCAGCCTTCAGTCCCCTTCACTCCCCTTGAATCCTCTCCAGTCCCCTTCAGTCCCCACCTCTCTCTCTCTCTATCTATCTATCTGTCTCTCTATCTGTCTTTCTACCTGTCTATCTATCCAGCTTTGTTGTGGTTATACAGCCACTTCCCATCTACGTAGTCTCAGTTTCTATCCATCTAGCCATCTAGGCTAGTCTAAGACATTTCTTTCTGTTTCTTTCTTTATCTAGCGCTGTCTCTCTCCCTCTCTTTCTCTCTTTCTCTCTTTCTCTTTGTTCTCGTTTCTTGACATCGATCTCTTTATCTCTCTGCTGATCTATGTGTTTACCTCTCTACTAATCTATCTATCTATCCATCCATCCATCCATCCATCCATCCATCCATCCACAATTTTCTACATTCATCCATCTCTATCTATCTAATCTGTATTTTTTTGTTTTATTCATCTATCTATGTTTCTTCCTTTTGAAAGCGGAGCACCTGCCAGGGAATCCGCACCTGACCTTGCGAAAGTGCTGCGACTGCCACGCAATCTGTACCTCAGTTTGCTGAAGTGCTCCACCTGAACGCAAACTCACGCGGCAAAAAGCCGCGCGCCGTCGCCAAGTCCCGAAGTCTTTGAGCACTTTCTAGCCCCAAGCGCGCAATCTCAACACTTGTCACCTCCTTAATTTACTTAGGAATGTGGTTTTCCCCCGTATTGGTTTTAAAAGGGGTCCATCACTACGTGAAATATTTTATTATTTCCAGGGGTATTAACCAAAAGGAAGCACCTCTTCTCTTTGCCTCTTGTCTTCTCTTCGTTGCTCTTCTCCTTCCGTTTTATCTCCTTTTTCACGGCAGCCATTTCTTATCTTGTTTTTTCTGCTCTTCTCCCTCTGCTCTCGTCTTCTTTCAGACAGCAGTTAGCCTTCACTTAGCGCCAGTACTACAAAAGTTTCTTCTAAATCCTTAGACAATCAGTTACTGGCTGCAACACGGAAGTGCCTTCTAAACTTCCTTTGATGTTGGACATATACAATCCCTAATTTCATGTCATTCGATGTGTGTATATGTATGTGTTTCTGTGTCATTTTGTGTGTCTGTGTGTGTGTGTGCGCCCCTCTTTGCAGCGTTGTTGTGGTCTGTGTGCGCGCAGAGAAGCTGGTCGTTGCCCGTGTTTGTTCAAAGGGAAGCCGCCTAGGGTTCCCCTGATTTGATTGGAGGCAAGCGCGAATAACAAAACGGAGCCCTCAAAATGGGAGGGTGTCCCTCTGGTTTCCCTTCAGCTGTCCCTCTGGTTTCCCTTCAGCGCATCCTTCCATTCGTGCATCTTCAGCTTATTGGGAAGTTGAGCCCGGCGATCGGACGTGCAGATGGGGCGACGACGTGAGCTTCTTTGATGCTACGGTGAAAGAAAACGTGGAGGCGCGCGATGGCAAGCCGGCAGGACCTGCTTGAGAGCAACCTAATAACAACCATTTCCCATACGGTTCACACACCTTCCCCTTGACACAAAGGACATCATGTGTGAACGGAGCCTAACTCGACGAGTTTTCGCAGCTTGGAGGTGGGGATTGGTGGCCTTTCTTAAAGAATTTGTGACCACCTTTTTAAAGGAACCCTATATTAGGGGTACCAGCGCGCAAAATTTGGACCGTTTCTTCTTGAAGCCTGGTTCATCATTTTTGTATTGCGGATACACTTTGCAATGTGCGCCAAAACACTGGCGATTCAATGTGAGTCAATGCCCGAGTTGTATGGAGATGCTTCCTAGCATAGAAAGACACTACGCATAGCTGCATGGCAGTGCGCGCAAGCCATCGTGCATGCCTTCCTTGCCACAGTAAACGCAGTTCCTGTAGGTAATATGCACATATATATATATATATATTTGCTCCCACCTTTTCGAATTCCCATGCTACGATTCTGTTAGGGAGAGTGAGCATGTATCTATATACATATACACATGGATATGTATATATTATATTTGTGTGTACACAGTGTTGATGGCCCCGCCGGTGTTTTTGTTGTTTTTTGCTTGTTTGTTTGTTTGTTTGTTTGTTTGTTTGTTTGTTTGTTTGTTTGGGTGTTTGCATGTTTTTGTAGATTGGTGTTTTTGTAGATATATATTTATGTATATGTGTGTGTGTGTCTTTGCTCGCTTGTGTGTTTGTTTTTTTGTTTCCTTGTTTGTTCGCCATGAAACACACTGAGCAATGGTTGTTCAATGCCACAAAGGGCCGTAGCGCAGATAAATGTATAGATTTGATTTTTTGGTTGCACAAGTTCAATAGAGAGCGACACAGAGATACCGAGAGAGAGAGAGAGAGACAGAAAGAGAGCTCCAAAACACGGACATGGATCAAACAAATAATGACCTCAAAAAGCTCGAAAACATACATAGCGATCAAAAAGGGGAAGGGAAACCTTGCGCCAGGTCCGCTAGATTCCTTTGTGTTGGTTGATTTATTTTTTTCGTTGTTCGCCCTGTGCTCGTTTTGGAAAGCACACATGAACAAGCCCGAGGCCAAGACGGCATCAGAATCCCAGGCAAATAGAAAATATACATGCCAATAGACTGTACTGCCATTGGGTTGGATCTTTAGACTTTAACTTGGATACCCCTCATACCTGCACCCTCCGAATGTACTGAAATGTCCGTACAGTTTGTACTGAAGAAGGCGCCCTTGGTTGGTCCAGGTATTTCCCGGTTTTAAAACAAGCAACAACATAAGGTTTCACAAGTTCTGCTCCTTTTCTTTGGGCTCCTTTTGAAGGGCTCCTTTAGAAGGGCTCCTTTATAAGGAAGCGGTTCTTTGCCGGGATGGACGATTCCAGTTTCTTCGGAGACCACTGTTGCTTCTCTCCAATGGCCAATCCTCAAGGTCCCGAACAAGAATCAAGTTGTAAGCATGTTCGAACAAGGTCCCTAACAAAAAGGTCCTTAGCCCTCAAGGTCCTAACAACTCTGTGTAAGCAAGTTGTGATTCACAAAGAGTATTCCCTGCAATCTCCACTCGTCAGCTCGTGGAGAAGACAAGTAAAAAATGGAAACGCATTGAAGTTGTTTGGGGTTGGCCAGGGTTGAATGTTCGGAAAAGAATCCGTGCAAGTTTCAATCCTGAGCCTTTGTCCACTTTAGTACACTTTAATGCTTTAGGGGTTGGTCAGTGTTGAAGATTCCTGAACGGCAGAGGTTTTGGGCTTTTTGCTTCATGCAGTCTAGACCCTTTGGCATAAACCCATGGCTATCATTTCAATGGGGACCCCCTTTGCACTAAAGGGAAGGCAAATGAAGATCAAGCATTTTGGGCGTCTCCCTTTCACAGAGACCCATCATTTCAATGAAAACCCCCTTTCAAATTCCCATCTACACTAGGTCCCCCAGTAGTGCCCCTTTACTCTTTTTGGTGGGAGGGTTCGCCTACTAAAATAGACTACCGAAAAAAAATCGGCTACCCTTATTCTATCCTCTCTACTGGAGGACCTAGGAGACCAAACATGTGGCAGCGCCTTTTTGGAACTTGAGCTTTGGGATTCCATGATGTTCCATGTTCTCTGAACTCAGGAACTCGCATGAGGTTTTTAGTGGACCTAGATGCGCCCTCGAAAAGTCAGGGCGCCCTCGGATTTTTGTTTTCTCGGCGCTCGCCGGCTCGCCAGCTCGCCGGCGCACCGGCTCGCAGGCGGCCGAGGGCCTAAGACTGATCTCCATTGAGGCGTTTTGGGTCGCCCCGGTGAGGGTGTTTCTTGTGGACCCCAAGTGGTTGGCTTCCTTGTGGCTTCCCCTTCAGATCATCCAACAGGGGGTTTTAACAAGCATCTGTTGCTTGTCAGCGGCTGAACAGTTCAAGTTTTTTTTGGCCGGCCAACTTGCCTCGCATGGGGTTAAGTAGTTCTTGCATGGCGGCTGGTTGGTTTTGCAGAGTCTGGCATGTCCCAGGAATGAACCATTCCAGGTTGGTTGACAGTCTTTGAACCTGTGCAATTCAAGACGGACCCATGCAAAAATCAGATCCGCTTGCGCGAGCACGCCGTCTCACCATGCAACCAGTTCTTGCTTCGGTGCCTGCATAAGTCGGTTTATATTCACGAAAGCTAGCTACGTCCGAGCGTTGAGCGGCTTCGGGGCGAGGGGTGCGCTGTTTCCCACACTACCAGCACATTCTCATAATCTTGTCCGCAGGTTCGCGATAGTTTGGGCCAGGGGGAATGCCTTTTTCGTCACCCGCAAGACCTGGTCCAAGTTCGTGGTGTTCATTTAAGGTCGCTATTCATGATACCTTGGCAACCTCTCAGACGCACATGTCGTTGCGGGGCTGGCTATCGTTCACCCGCCTCTTAAACTAACTTCCATGAAACATCGAGTACTACCGGCGGGGGCTCCTTTTTTGCGACACGCCCACTTTCCCTACAGCAAAAGCTCAGCTTGGGGGTGGCGAGATGGACTGCTGGAAGAGCACCTGGCAGGGTCGCGAGCCACAGCATGTGCATCCAGAAGGAAACCATCCCTTTTGGGGTGGGGCTTGGACTATCTTGAATCCAAGCCCCACCCCACCCCAAAAGGGACTATCTTGAGATCCCAGTTTGGGTAGCATCTTTGCTCGGCTCCGGGTTGCGCAACTCATCGACTCGCGCGTCGAGCGTCTCGAGCGTCGCGCGAGGCGCCAGAGGAGGTGTCCTCGCCCTTCCAGCGAGGTGGCCAGTTTGTGCAGGTGCGGATGGCTCGGGGCAGAGGGATAGGCTGGGATAGAGGGGGAGGGGCCATGGACATGGGGCGATTCTGGGCGAGGGGGGGGGGGGTACTGTTGACCCCAGATTAACAAGCTTGTGTTTATCAATACCGGGGTGTTTCTGGTTTTAGTGGGGATTCACTTTTGGAGGGGGTCCCTCATATGAACAAACAGGGCAGGATATGTTTCCGGGGTCGGCATTACCCTCACAAGACATGAGCAACTGACAAATACTGACGACAAGTTTTGGGGCGCCCAGGATTTTGTCACATGTCACAGGACTCGGCCCCCAAAATATCCCACAAAAGCAAGGTGAAAACACCCCAAATATCCGACCAACACCAGGAACAACACCCCAAATGTGTCCCACGTCCTCTTGAAACCGCCCAGATTTTGTGTCACGTCCACCCGGACTGCGGACTCGCTGTCTCGGCCCCATGGGCGGTTTCTCGGCGCCTCTGGGCCCCTCTCGGCTCCGGAAGGCAAAGGCCTCCGAGGAGGACAAGGCCTCCTTCTACGCCGTGTCCAGCCCGCCGAGCAAAGGCTCGGAGCAATTCCACGCAATTCCGCGTCTCAGTTTGGTTTGGTTTTTGATTTTTGGTTTGGGTGACATGGCTGGTCAAAACCAATGGAACCATCTTGGGGTGGGTGCGCCGCGCATTTGAGTCGATTTTAGTGGGATTGGGATGTTCACTGGGGGTACGGAATCTTGACCCACAGCCACCTCAGTCCTGACAATGAGCTAGGTTTTCCAGTAGTGCCCTTTTATATTTTTTTTGGGGAGGGTTCCCCGACTAAGATGGACGACAGAAAATTGGTGGTACCATTATTCTTCCTCCTCTCTACTGGAGGACCTAGTTGTTGTGTTGTTTTTGTTTTGGAGGTGGCCGGGCTTTCTTATGGTAAAATCCCACGACAACAGAAAGAAGGGTGCCAAGACTACTTTGTGCGCTTTCTTGAAAACCAAACGACAGCAACAGAAAGGGTGCCTTTTTTTTGTACGTGGAAGTCCACTAAATATCTGGGGGGTTCAGTAGAAAGTTGTTTTTTCTTTCTCTGCGGCTATAGTTTATTTTGCTACCATTTGATGCTTTTTATCCCCACTTGAGATGAGGCTCCCTATCTGAAGAAATAGGTACCCTCCGACAGCCATGCCATCCGGCAGAGAGGTATGGGGCAATTTTCCTGTTTGTGCCGGTTTTTTTCTCGAACCATGGTTGAGACCCTTTTTTTTGGCAAGTCCCCGAGTCGTCCAGAGGTTTGTGAATCCGTCCCGGAGAGTTCCAAATTCACGCGACAGACCCCACGAGCAATTATCATTCCCGCAACTCGACTTGCAGCTTTCTTCGTTACAAAGGCCAAGCACTGGGCCAAGACAGTTTCGGAGTGCGACACCCAACTTCCGGAACACCAGACTCCGCAGCAACCGGACAGCAGCACGGGGCACCAGGACCGCATCTGGAACATCAACGCGTGACAGCCAGGTGCTCCACAAGACAACTGCCACACCGGGGGAACAGCAGCCGGCACACCCAAAGGCTGGCAAGCCACCAGAGACAAAAGAGACAACAGAGACAAAGAGCTGGGAACAGCCGGGACACCAGAGAGGTGAGCTTGGCTTTGGTTTTTGACCCATCCAAGTGCGCTTTTGGTCCGATGGGCAAATCTGCAAATCTCAACCCGAAACCTTCAAGAAGAGTTCCAGCAAGGACATATTTTTCAATCTTGTCTAGGTCCCCCAGCTAGGTGCCCTTTCTCACCCCTTTTTTGGTTGGGAGGGTTCCCCTACTAAAATAGACTACAGAAAAAAGTTGGTACCCTTATTCTACTCTCTCTACTGGAGGACCTAGTTGTTGCTAGGTTTGTATCCAACCCAAGAAATAAAACCACTGAGTCGTGAGCATGTTTTCTCGCCGGTCTCTTTGCTCGGATATCGCCTGTTGGAAAGGCCACGGAAGATTTGCTCCAGGCGAGTATCCCCGAAAAACCAACCCTGGTCTCTTTGAAAGTTGCTGGTGAAGCGTGGTCGCATTTTCAGGCGGCTCCTGGGATGAGTGCAAACTTGCGGACGATTCCGGAACCGTGAATATGTTTTTGTCTTCTTTGGGTGTTCTTTGGGTATTGTTGTATGTGGACGCACTGGGATGGGAATCTAGAGTAGACGCTCCTCTAAAAAGAACTCTGAACAACGCATTCAGTCTGAACCCTTATCTCGCCGGATATTGACATGAGCAGCAGATGTTGCCATTCTCCCAAAATCATCAAGAAGCATCCAGACAATTTGTTGAGATTTCGAGCAAATGCTTGTTTAATTTGGGTGGCTGAGCCATCATTTATTTTTTGGAAAGGCCAAGCAATAATCGAGTTGTTCTGCGCGGTGATGTTTGAAGATAAGAAAGCATTCAGCTTGAATGATGCCTACTTGCTTCCTGTGAGCGTTTGCTCGGAATGGCACCCATGGTGCAGCGATTGTCAGCATGCTGACTTACATGCAATGAATGAGAAACATTCAGCTCGAGCACAGACGTGCCCAATTCACTCATGGCGTGCATTCGCTTGCTGGATGGCACGGATGTGATGACGACGGCAGAGTATTTTCTGTGGCGGGAGGAGTTGGGCGGACAGGAAGATGGGGATTGTTTTTTCAACACGTTGCGACGCCACCTGGCCAAGAGATTCTCAGTTGCCCATTGGTATCTAGGTTTCCTGTTTTTGATTGTTTATTCAAACATGCTTTCCTTTCTTCCAGTGGCAACTGACCAAGTAAGGATTGCTTTTGCCGAATTTTAGGCAGCTCGCTTTGGCTGGCGACCGAGGCATGTTGGGCCCAGAGTGTACGTGGGAGAATCCTGAGTGCTTGACGGCCATCAAACGCCAATATGTTGAAGCACTCACAGGCGAAGCAACATGCATCGACTTGCTGCAAGCGGCGGGAAAAGGCGACGCAAAACATGTGATTGTGCTGTTGGAGAAGCCTCATGATCCCAACGCTGCTGACAGAAACAGTCATGCGACACCTTTGTTTAATGCTTCCGCAAACGGCCATCTGGAAGTTGTGCAGCGCTTGCTGGATGCCAGTGCTGACAAGGAGAAGGCAGACAGACAAGGCACCACCCCATTGCTTATTGCTGCAGTGCGGGGCCACCAGGCAGTTGCGCAGTGCTTGCTGGATGCCGGTGCTGACAAAGAAAAGGCAGACCGTGATGGCGCGACACCGTTGCATCTTGCTGCAGATCAGGGCCATCAGGCGGTTGTGCAGTGTTTGCTGGAAGCCGGCGCTGACAAAGAGAAGCCGACGAATGAGGGCGCCACAGCGTTGCACCTTGCTGCATTGCGCGGCCATCAGCCAATTGCGCAGTGCTTGCTGGATGCCGGTGTTGACAAAGACAAGGCGAGCAACGACGGCTTGACAGCATTGCATCTTGCTGCAGATCAGGGCCATCAGGCAGTCGTGCAGTGTTTGCTAGATGCTGGTGCTGACAAAGAGAAGGCAGACAATGATGGCCTGACGCCATTGCATTTTGCTGCTTTACTGGACCATCCGGCAGTGGCGCAGTGCTTGCTGGATGCTGGCGCTGACAAAGAGAAGGCAGACCGTGATGGCGCCACACCGTTGCACGTTGCTGCTGGGCAGGGCCATCAGGCAGTTGCGCTTTGCTTGCTGGTTGCCGGTGCTGCTAACGAGAGGGCAGACAATGATGGGTTCACACCGTTGCATTTTGCTGCACGTGATGGTCATCAGGCAGCTGCGCAGTGCTTGTTGGATGCCGGGGCTGACAGAGACAAGGCAGACAACGATGAGGCCACGCCGTTGCATCTCGCTGCTGGGCAGGGCCACGAGGCAGTTGCACAGTGCTTGCTGGATGCCGGTGCTGACAAAGAGAAGGCAGACAATGATGGCGCCACACCGTTGCATTTTGCTGCAATGCAGGGCCACCAGGCAGTCGCGCGTTGCTTGCTGAATGCCGGTGCTGACAAAGAAAAGGCGGACAACGACGGCTTGACAGCATTGCATCTTGCTGCAGATCAGGGCCATCAGGCAGTCGTGCAGTGTTTGCTAGATGCTGGTGCTGACAAAGAGAAGGCAGACAATGATGGCCTGACGCCATTGCATTTTGCTGCTTCACTGGACCATCCGGCAGTGGCGCAGTGCTTGCTGGATGCTGGCGCTGACAAAGAGAAGGCAGACAATGATGGCGCCACACCGTTGCACGTTGCTGCTGGGCGGGGCCATCAAGGTGTTGCGCAGCGCTTGTTGGATGCCGGAGCTGACAAAGAGAAGGCAGACAACGATGGCGCCACACCATTGCATCTCGCTGCAGACCAGGGCCATCAGGCAGTCGTGCAGTGCTTGCTGGATGCCGGGGCTGACAAAGACAAGGCAGACAACGATGGTGCCACACCATGGCTTATTGCTGCTGTTCAGGGCCATGAGGCAGTTGCGCAGTGCTTGCTGGACGCCCCTGCTACTAAGAGAAGGCGATTAGCTTCAGTACAGTTTGCTCCATAGCCAGATTGTGTTTGGTATTGAGTTGTCGAGTGCTTGCTACCAGCGGCGCTGCCAAAAGCGAAGCAGGCAACTGTGATTCCGGAAATCCAGTGTGGTGTTCTAGACTCTAGAATAGCCAGGCGGAAGCAGTGTGGTTGTTGAGCACGAAGCGGATCCGGCTGATTTCGTAGGTATTGCAGGTTGATCAAGCCAACTCCATGATACATCGCAGGGTTTCACTTGTTTAGGGCAAAGCTTGTAGGAATCTGCCATATCAAAAGACAAGCAGGAGAGCAAGATAGCATTCAGATGGAATCCAATGATTGACTGCCACTTTTGCATGTTTGGCTGAACTAGCGGGGGTACATCTCCCCAACTTGTAAACCGTCTAAACTTGCAAAAACGTCTGGTTCAAATCTGGGCGGCAACCCCCAAGATGATGTTGTAACAGAAGTTTCCTCCATCTCACCAAGTGTGATATTGGAGCACCGATGCTTTTGGATTTGCCACGCCGCGTATATGCCATGGGGTACCGGGCCGCTGCATCATGTATAGCCCCCCTCCCACTCTCCCGGAGTTTGGTCAACTGTTTCAGCCAGCCTGGAAGCGGTGAGGAAGCACATTCCTATCTCTTAGACCTTGAGTCTTCATCTTCTTTTCGCCTGTCCACCATTTCATTCTTTGTGAGGTCTCATCTGTAAGTGAAAGACCTTGAAATTCAAAAGGACAGGATGAGAGACAACATGCCTCTATTTCTATTTCTTAGATACAGTTATGATTGAAGGGAAATTGAGGCATTGAGATTAATACATAGATAATTAACATGAACAAGATATATCAATACTAGAGTAGGACACCGAGATAAGAAAGTATTCGAATTATATTAATAAAGATAAAGCATATTACAATAATATAAATAGTACTGTGAAAGCAATGAATAAGAGAACTAAAGATAAAGACAAACCATTTATTACAACTTAGAACCCCAGGGTGCCGGGATGGCATGCCAGCAATGCTTGCAGTATGCTTTGTTGGAGCCCATAAAATGAAGGCCTTCCAAAGGTGTAGAAAGGCCTGAAGATGCGCTGAAAACGGGTGGGGGATTGCAAGACCTGGATTCTCCAAGACCCTTACATTGTTGTTGTTGGGAAGCATGTTACATTTTTGCTTATTGTGATTTAGTGGGAAATCCCCCACTGAACTGCTAACACATCTGTTGTTTGCTTTTTCCCCTTCCAACGTCAACCGAGCTTTAACTCCTATTTGGGGCATACTGCAAGGCTCACGGAGGCTCGCGGAGCCGCTCGCTCAGGCGAGCTGGAGTTCCTCATCAAGGACGTTGAGTCCAACGCCTGGCTCACCAGCCAGCAGACCCAGAGCCATGCTGTCCATCGCCAGGCCGCGTCTCAGCACCGGCTACAAGGGACACAAAAACTAGGTTTTGCAATAGTGCCCTTTTACCATGTTTTTTGGGGGGGAGGGTCCCCTACTAAAATAGACTACAGAAAAAAGGGTACCCTTATTCTAACCTCTCTACTGGAGGACCTAGAAAATCAGAATGAGGTTGTTGGGGGTTCTGGAGAACCATATTATCGTATGATCATGGGATCAAACTGTAAGAATTGCCCCTGCCATTCGGGAGGACCTTGGTTATCTTCAATTGCCATGGTTTGTCTGGGTAAAAGGAAACTCATGCGCCTGCCCCCTGTTTGGGGGGCGCTTTCATACAAATCCTCTACCCCCCAAAAAGAAACTTGGATATAGGTTTGCCACGGTATGATCAGGTAGTACACTTCTTGTTGGGCGCAAAATGACGCTTATTTACACACAATTCCTCTCCCCCAAAGGGGTACGTAGGTTTGTAGCCCTCGAATGGCTTGGGGACTGTCCGAATGTGCTTGGGGTTTTCAGAACTTAGCAAGGTGAAAAGGGTTCCCTGAAAAGCAATCCATATTTGGACTGAAGCCCCTATGATGTGCCTCCCCAAAAACCCACTGTTGGGCATCCTCTATCGGGGGTTGCCTTTGGAAGCAGTGGACATTACAGACCCCAGACTGCTTTTTTGTTTGCGCACCTGCAAATGGTTTGTTCTGCCGGTCATGAGGGCCGGGGGGGAGGAAGGGGAGGGGGAGGGAGCCCAAACAAGCCCCAAATAAGGCCACCCGAGAAAAACAAAAAAAGCAAAGGTCCCCAAATACGGCCTGAATTTGGGCTTAAGGGCTTATTTGGGCTCCGTCCCCTTCCCCTCCCTCCCCTTCAGCCCCCATGAGGTATGCGCGGGCCATGCAAAGCTATGTGCGAGATGCACCGAGGCTCCGGGGCAGGCGACCTGGTAAAGCTCAGTGAGGTGATGGGTAAGGGCTTTGACCTCGACTGCGAGGCGAACGGGCCGAGGTCTGAGAGACGGCTTTGTTGGTTGGTTTGGTTTGGGTTGGTTTGGGGTGGGGTGGGTTTGTTGGTTGGTTTAGGTTTGGTTTGGTTTGGGGTGGGTTTGTTGGTGGGTTGGTTTGGTTTGTTGGTGGCTGTCCTTGGTTTGGTTCATTATTGGTAGGATGGTTTGGCTTTGTTTGGTTTGTTGGTGCCTTGGCTTTGTTTAGTTTCTTGGTGGTTTGGTTTGGTTTGGGGTGGGTTTGTTGGTGGGTTGGTTTGGTTTGCGTTTGGTTTGTTGGTGGGTTGGTTTGGGTTGGGTTGTGTTTGTTGGTGGGCTAGTTTGGTTTGGGTTGGGTTTGTTGGTGGGTTGGTTTGGGTTGAGTTGTGTTTGTTGGTTGGTGTAGGCTTGGTTTGTTGGTGGCTGTGCTTGGTTTGGTTCATTGTAGGTAGGATGGTTTGGCTTTGTTTGGTTTGTTGGTGCCTTGGCTTGGCTTTGTTTAGTTTGTTGGTGGGTTGGTTTGGGTCGGTTTGGTTTGGGTCGGTTTGGGTTGGTTCGGGTTGGCTCGGGTTGGTTTGGGTGTGAACCTGGATTAGGGACCATTTGGCAGACATGGTGGGGATTCATGTCCGCTGCTGAGGTGGTCCCCCATTGAATTTTTCATAGCCGTATGATCCATACGGTCGATTCGTTTTGGAGGTTGTGGAATACTTAAGAAAGCAACTTGACAGAACTACGTTCCTTGAGTTCCGTTTTGCTTCGGAAGCTCTTGCTTCCCTTCAGACTGGGGTCATTGATTTTCACTGTTGTCGAAGTCAGAAGCTGGGGCCTTGAACCTATCCAGAAGGGTGACTTTGAGTGGCGAAAGGACCTGCTAGCAACTTGCGCGATAAGGACACTTAAAGGTAGCCCTGCGCAAAGACAAGATGAGGAAGCAATGACCAAATGCGACAACACATGCGTGGAATCGCGAAAGAACAGCAGCTCCGCGAAAAAGAGCAACCCAAACTGCGGGCTTTTGGATGCTGCTGACGGAAAGCTACGTACCCCGCAAAAGCGCCGCTGGAAAAGGTCTGGTCTGCGGGTTGCTCAGTCGCAAGAGCTGAGACGCACTGTTCAACAACAGGTTCAGATGGTCTCCACCTGGGCTGATTGGATATGCCCATTATGACCAACCGAGATTCTGCCCATTCGCGAGGTCTTCATGAATACGTCCTTTGTAAGTATCCAGGACTCTAACAACAACACCGGGGGAGTTGCATTCCATCCAGATTATGGAGAAGTTTTGAAGGCAATGTTAGAGATTCGATTTCAGGCAACAGGTGCCATGTGTTTTGCTTTCAGGAGTAGTTTCTGGGTTTGTCCGACGTTTCTTGAGCGTGCCAGGCATGGAAAAATGTGAGCCAGGCGCGGCTCTTGGATGCAGGTGCAGGCCCTTCTGCCACCGGCAGACTGGACTGCTCCAGATTTTTTGTTCAAGGCCCCCTGTAAAAGGTAAACGGCTCGCCCGCACCAAGGGTGCTCAAACCTTTGGTGCATTTTGCTTAGGACTTTAACTTCTTGCCAACGAACGGGTTGTCCAATAAACCACTAAAAGTTAAACGTTTAGCAGCGGAGCAGAAAGCAACCAAGAAACAGCAGTGGTTCAGTCATGTTTAGGCAGGTCGTCTTCTGATTCATTTGGACCTTTTCTGGAGTCCCAATAGACACTATCCATCGAACGGAGTCAAACCAACGGGAGGCGGCATCGTCAGCTCACACAACCAATGTTTGTTGTCTTTGTTGTTCGACCCCCCATGCTACTTTCTAGGGGTTGATTCCCCATTCTTTTCAATCATGGTTCTTTTCAATAACCAGCTGTTTTCCTGTGTTTTTGATGGTTTCCTGAAAAGAAGGATCCCTGGAAAGAATGGGGAAGGTACCCCATGCTACACGTGCTTCATTTTCACAAGCCAGGGGTCGCCAAGAGCTGCTTGGGAAGGGAGCGACAACGCATCGGTCTTGCTCTCGACCCGGATCATGTGGGGGTCCATTGGTTGCGAGTCATTCACCAATTTGACAAATCTTGTGTTTCCACCTAAGTGGAAACCACTCCAGAAACTCTGACTGAAAGGGTCCCTTGCTGTTAGCATAGAGTCGTGCAAGCTACTCCTCCCCAAGGATGTGTGTTATTCCGCGCAAAATACCAAACATGGGGCCTGGAAAAGCCTTGCACCAAAGTGGTCTCCATCAGGTTGCGGCAATTCGTTGAGAGTATTTCCTCGTTGCCCAGTGGTGCCCTTTCTTCCTTTTCTTTTTTTTCCCGAAGGGTGTCCCCCAAAAAGGATGCCGATTCTTCTTCCCATGGACATCCAATGGGCATCTCAGAATCTGAGGACCGTCTTCTCTCGGGCTGTCACCTGAGGTGAACATCTTCGCCACTGGCTCTGGCATCGCGCCCATCAGGCCGCGCGATGGGGCTGAGAGTCCAAGGGTTCCTAGGTCCCCTAGCAATTGGTGCCCTTCTTTGCCCTTCTTTGGGGGAGGGATGCCACTTATGAAGTACTCCAGAAAAGAGATAGGGATCAAAATTTTCCGGACATCCCAATTGTTTAACTAGGTCCCCCAGCAATTGGCGCCCTTTCTCATCCGTTTCTTTTTTGGTTGGGAGGGTTCAAACCTACAGAAAAAAGTCGGTACCTTATTCTATCTTCTCCACTGGAGGACCTAGGTTCGCCGTTGTCTTGCTGGTGCGATAGGCAGGGAATGAGATATGGAATGAACCCAGGGATTATCGAGTAAAGGAAGCCACCAGTTGGATGGTTTATAGGGGTCATTCCATTTCTTATTCCCTACTGAGCACCAGCAAGTTGTGTTTTTCTCCAAAAACGCAGATCTCACACATTTGGGCGCAGGCCCGCGTAGTTCTAGTTTGGGAACCTTAGTAAATTGGCCAAACAGTGGGGTACTACTGAATCAAAATCGACTGGTGTTGTGGGGAAACAACACTCCAGAGAAAGGCATGACCAGAATGAAAATGATGTTAGTAATTTGTTCAGGCGCTTATATGTTATGAAGTGTCAACTAGATCCGTCCAGATGGCTGATTTTCATGGCCTCTACAAGTTCTATCTCTTGGCCTTTCCCCACAAGGTGTCCACACCGCCGGGAAATCGCAGTCCTCTGATTCCCTTTGAAGGGGAGCCTTTATCCCATGGTAAGGTTTGAGTGCTTTTCCATTCTCTTCAGCCATTCTCTTTAGAAGCGTTCCCCCCATTTTCCAGGGTTTGGCCCATTTTTGAAAAGAAGGATCCGTGAAGAGAATGGCGAGGGTACAGCTGGAATAGTTGGGGGAAAGACACCTTGTTGGGCATCACGCTCCTGTTGGACGTGATGGACTTTACGACGAGTTTAGTGGTGAACAAAAGGTTTAAACTTTGTTTTGGCTAATCCCGCCTCTTGCATTCCCTTCAAAACCATCCAAAACGGGGTCCCCTCTTTGGAGAAATGCCCATTTGTCCAGGGCTAGTCGATCCACTATCAGCAAACCCCGGTGCATGAAGGTTTGCAACGGGCGCACATCTATTTCCCCAGCGGACGCCTGTGTATCTTCCCATCTTCCGGCTTAAGGCTGAATGGATCCAGGAATCCAAACATCTCCCTTGGCGATCCCATGCCACAAGGAATTGGACCGCAAACCAACCAGGAATTGGTTTTAATACCGGGGGTTTAGAGACGGAGTTCCACGGACCCGGATCAAGAACCGAATCGTTCTTTGCTTCAGTCTCAAGGAATGCCCCGGAAAATGGGGCCTTCGGTTTTTTGTTGGGGGGTCTGGGTGTCCACTTTTCCGTGTTGCATCAGTCAGAGAGGTGATTCAGGGAGCTGCAAGAACATGCCCAGTGCATGGTTGTTGGGAAACAGTTCACATGCTCGCTTATTGTGTTTAGTGGTTGAAATCCAACCGCTTAACTGCCAGAATTTGAGAAGTGTTCTTTGCAGCGTTCTTTGCAGGATCCCGCAGTGTTCTTTGCAGCCTCGGATGTGTTGCACGACCCGTGCCCTTTCTCATCCGTTTCGTTTTCGGTTGGGAGATTCGCTTCCCCTACCAAAGTAGAAAAACAAGAAGTTGGTGGCCTTGTGCTAACCTCTTTACTGGAGGACCTAGATGCCGAAGTTGGAGACCCCTCGCCCGGCTTCCCAAAGGGCGCCGGAGTCGACGGTTTTGCGCAGGGCGGTGATCGAGTCGGGAGCGCTGGCAGGCGCTGGCGGGAAATTGGGAGCGCGCGATCCTGAAGGATGGCCCAAGTGCTGACCCCATATGGACATGGGTCAAAACCGTTTTGGGATCCCATTTTGGTTGGTGGGTGATTTCACCACCCATTTTAGGTTGCCTATTTTAGTGGTTGGATTGGGATGTTCACTGCAGGTAATTACGGGATTTTGACCCATGGCCATATTGATCATCCCCAGTTTTTTTTGGGGGGGTTGTCTCTGGGTCTGGTGGGGAAGCATCCCTTTTGGAGGGGAACACCCCCTGAATATGGGGTCAACATTGCCCTTCCATCTGATAGACTAACTTAGAACTTAGAACTTGACTGGGCGGTCCTAGAATACCAGTTTCCTCTACAAGGGACTGTCTAGTGGCTTCCCGAAGGAAGGTGGGAAGTTGGAATACTTGGATGGGTTTTCAAAATAGGAATCGGCCGCCAACAGGCCGGCTGTCTGTTTCCCTTAAACTGCCAACCCAAAATGGGGCCCCTTCATGTTGAGCCCGAACCTACCCATTTTGGTAGCCATGCTGAGTGCCAACTAGCCCCGCATGAACAAAATACCGAACGGAGATGGGCATCCTTTGATTCGTCCAGAAAAGGAGATAGGGATCTTTTGATTTTTCCGGACATCCCAATTGTTTAACTAGGTCCCCCAGTAGTGCCCTTCTCTCCCCCTTTTTGGTTGGGAGGGTTCTAAAATAGACAAAAAAAACAACAAATGGTGCCCTTATTCTAGGTCCTCTCCACTGGAGGACCTAGTTAAGCACCCAGTATGGTTGTCAAATGAAGTTAAACCCCCATACACCTGGTGGCCTACTTGCTGAGGGGAAACCCCCTCCAGGCCAGGATCTCCTCAAGTGCAGTACATATATATGGCAGGGGCTCAAAAACAGGTGCCCCAACATGGGTCCTTCTCTTTAAATGGAAAACGAAGACCAAAACCTTTTTGAACCCTAGCTCTCAAATTTTGAACACTTAGATGGGTCCGAATCGCTGCTTTTGGGATCCTTTTGGATCCGCTCTTGAATCATTAAGAGGATTTTGTGATTTTCTTCAACTTACATCCCTTGAGCCAGAAACAGATCCGGGCTTAACTTCCTAAGATGTTGGGAACAGGGTCAGCGACTTGTCCTAAAGCAAGTCTCAAGCATCCTTCTTTTTTCATGGTCGGCAGGGTGGAGCATAACCTGACCCTTCCTCGTCATACATGTTTCACTTTTCAGTGCAAAGAAATGTTGTGCGGAACAAATGTTTTCCTCATGTTTCAGGACTTTTCGGACCGTTGCGCCTACCCTCACGGTGTTTGTTGCACGGAAGATGTGCATCATCAGGGTCATATATATATATATATATATATCTAGACCGGTGCGCGCTGCTTTAGGCGTTGCCACCTTTGCCAACCTTAAAAACCAATATCCTACAAGCAGACGGTTGCAATTTTGACCACGAAGTTTCCATCATACCCCGTCCCCTCCCGCACCCCCCCCCCTCCCTGTCAAAGCTTGCGTGTTTGCAGCGTGGTGTGATCTTTGTTTCTTCGAGATGGTTTCGCTTTCGAAGAGAAGCCACCCAAGGGCTGGAGGGAGGACTCTCTTCATCATGGCTCACTGAACCGCAAACTGAATGGTTTTCCTTGGCGCGAAATCGGGAGGGAATGAGACATGGAATGACCCGGATTTGAGCCATCCAACTGGTGGTTTCCTTTAAGGGAATCTCCAGGTTCATTTGCTTCCCTGCTGAGCACCAACTCATTTCCACATCCTTTGGGCAAGTGAGAAGCCCAGCGCTTGTCTTCTACCTAAAGATGCCCAAAGAGATGCCTGTTGCCCAGGAAAGGTGAGACATGGATGTTCCCTTCACTGGGTGTCCATGAAGTCCACTTTTAAGACAGGGTTTTCCAGGGACATCAACGAGAAAACACATTGTAGATGTATCTTGTGTTTCAGGCATGGCCCGGGTCTATGGACACGAAGAACAAGAGCGTCGAAACCACGGAGCAACCTCATGTGTTGCCGAATTGACCGTGACCTTCTTTTGGAGGTTCTTTTGGGGGACCCCCATTCGCGGTGGCTTTCAAAACCACCTTTTCAAAAAGAAATAAGCTCAGGTGATATCCCCAACAGCATGCGGTGCGCTTTTTAGTTCTCGCACCACCCCACAGCCCTCGCAGAACCTGGTGGAACCCTGGTGGAACCTTACCTCAGGGCTGCCCCGGACCACCCCGGAGCCTATCTGGGCTGAGACCCCAAAGCTTCCAGCTGTTGGGGAAAAAACAAATCCCCATTTTCACTGTCAAAACGGCGTCGCGCTCTGCGCCCGGAGTCAACAAAGGGCTTCAGGTCCGCGTATGTCGCAACTCAACTCGGTAGGGCTTTTTCGCCGCCGTTTTGCGCACCGGAGTCTAGACACCCAGGGTTACACAGTTGCGTGTACCCGCCCCCAATTGAAAGAGTTACAAACTTGAAACCCAGGGCACCTCTTGCGCTGGCTTGAAGGGACGCCAATCGGATAAAACACAAGTTTTGGGTGTTTTTGCAGGGCACCTTTTTGGGTTGGCTTGAACAAAAACCGACCGAAAAGTTCAAAGCGAGCCAGTTGTTTTGCTCTTTGCTCCAAGTGCTTCTGCGCGCCCACGCCGATGTCTGACGCACAGGCAAGCAATCGAGGCTCTACTTGGGCGCACGCCGCGAAGGCGATCGTTGGATCCCCGTGGGCGTAGAGGGAAACGGGACTTTAGTGGGTTGGATCCACGAATCGCTAGGTGAACTATGGGTCAAAAGTCGACCAGGATATGGACCGCAGGTGTTGGTCCTTGGTTCCATTTGCCAAGGTTCCATTTGAGTGCCTATTTTGAGCCATATAAGACCAGTGGTTTTAAGTGCCTGGGGTTTCCATGCGTACTCACTCGCAAATTAAGTCAAGTGTTGAGTGGCCTGAAAGAAAGACCAAGAAGCCCCCGATTTTTGGGCTTGGGTTCTGGAGAAACCTCAGTTTGCAAAATCGTAGACGCCCCCCGTTTTTGGTTTTGGTTTTGGCTCTTAGTTTGGTTTGGGTTTTGATTGTCTGGTTTGGGTGATCTCAGTCCTGACAATGAAGGTTCCTTTTTGGTGGGCCCCTTGTTTTGGCTTGGGCTTCATAGCGATGCCATACGTGTACCTTCCCCGCGGGATCCTTTCGGCCGAAGCTCGGGTTCCACAAGGAAGGCCGTATAGCGCGGCTCATGGAAGGTAGTTTCTGTGATACAAGGACCCCGGTGATAATGCAGCAGGGCCGCCAGCCATTCAGTGCTGGGATTTGAAGACAAGCCCAAACAATACGCATGGGGCAGGAATTGCTTGAGCTGGACCCATGAAAGGTTCAATGCTTCACCCTCCCTCCACCCCAGCTTGGCAAGTAGTTCACCCTTCAAGGAGTTTGGACATGGGCATTCCTTCGGCAACCATGCGCAGCTTGGGTCATCAAACCCTCTGAGAGTTGTGGAATTAGTTTGGGTCTATTCCTAGAATTTGATTCACTCCCAAATTCGGATGATGTTCCAACGGGACTTCTTGGCGTCCGTTTGGACATCCCCATGTTGCCTTTGTGTTGCACGGCAAGTCGCGTGGGCAACTCGGAAGGCCATAGATTGCAAGGTTTCATTGGGTGTCAGGTGGGTGGAAACAGGCACTTCAGCCCCCCCTCTACGCTAAAGAAGCAAATGCTCTAAGGGGGTTGCAAACATGCGTGCTTCGAACTTTCTGGTTCAAAGGAACGGACCGATGGGTGAGTCCAACATTTGAGGACCAACCTTCGCCAGTGGCACCCTTACTGGTTTCCCCTTTGCAGCTGATGAAAATGGGGGTGTATATAACAAGCGTCTTCATGAAAGGTTTATAAATCCCGGGTTCCCGTTATAATCAGCCATGGTTGTCAAAGTTGCCCTGTTTGGTACCCCTTGAAAAGGCTGTATACTGCAAGGGCCATGTGTGTTGCAACCACCACAAACCACTGCAAAGCCTTTTTGTCCCATGTCCGGGCAGAGGGATGCTTTCGATGTGTCCCCCAAAACCTCGCGGGGGCGACACTGCACAGGCGCTATAGCATATGCCGTCCTCGCCTGAGACGGCCAACAAATCTTCCATTTTGGAATGGGACATGAGGATTTTCACTCCGGTAGATTAACAGTAAGCCGTCGTTTCCGGGAATCTCTGGTTGGGAAACCATTTTTGGGTTCCATGTGGATTTGCGGGGACGTACTGTTGACATTCTGTGTCCCAAGGACCATAGCATTCGGGCAATTCCAACCATAAGATAGAGATCAATACCCCACAAGGAAACCACCCCTCTCGATCCCTTCGCTCCGAATGAATCCGAGGTTGCCTTAAAAGATAGGTCGGTAAAAGGACCGGTGCAACTCAGCAGTCAGCCATACGGGCTGTGGCTCAAAAAACCGGAATTCCAAAATGGAACCCGATCGGTAAGTGGAAACATGGGTACCAAAGCCTTTTCGGTTTGCCCCTCCGATCGTTTTATTTTGATTGCCACAGCCATATTCTTCCGGCGTTCAACACGTCGAGTCTGCTTTGGGCTCCAGGGTTCCAAAGCCGGCCGATCGCAACCAATCCTTGGAGACTCCATGTCCTTGACATGCGGTGACCCCCTAGCTTTGGCAATACCACATGTTTGATGCGTTTTGCATCCAGGTAGCCCCAATGCATCTGTGTCCAACTTCTTGAAACAAGGCGTGCAGATAGCCATCATCACTGCATGTTTTTGGGAGGGATCTAGGATTAACTTCCCATGCGTTTCAGATGCAGGGAAGAAGCTGGTGGTTGAAAATGCTTGAAAAGAGCGGGAATCGACCTCTAGAAGACAACGAAAGAGTGTCTTCAAAGCAACAGACGCTGGGAAGGGCGAAGGGTGACCAACAACGATCCGTTGGATCTCGACCCCAGACTTGGCAACTCCCGCAGACGCAGGTGGATTCAAAAAGCACTGCTTGTGGAATGCATGAGATCGCAGTGGAAGACGTTAAACAAACCGCTACCATGTCTGTGGAAGATTCCTTTCTCCCACTATCTCCCACTTCAATGGGGGAGAATAGAGCCAATGTTATAACATCTTCCGGCCATCTCGGTAGAACCACCAGTCGCCCGGTTGGCTAGCAAAGCAGTGTGGCAGTTGGGAGGGACGCTCAAAATAGAGCTTTTTGGGGCCTCGGTTGACCTGCAAAACAAGTGTTGCTCCGGAAGAGTCCACCAAGGGTGCTACTGTGGATGGACGAAATCCTGCGCCTAAGAAACCCTGGGACAATGATTGCCCAGAAAATACCAACAAACAATGGTTTCAACCGTGGTTTCAAAGTGGTGCGAAATGGATTTCGCAACCATCCACAGTATTAGCGGAGAAGTTTCATGGGTCTCAACAAAATGTGGACGTATCTCCACACCTCATGTCGGCCAAATCTAGTTACATTCCCCCAGCTTGGAGTTTGGCATAATTAGGCCTGTCCGAGCTGTCAGCTTTCGGTTGGTAAGTTGTTGACGAAGGCAAGCCTCGATTTCTAAATGGGTTTCAACACGAAGTGGTGGGCCCCCCATTTTGCCACAGAGGCAACCTCTTGCAAAAAGTGAAGCGAGTCAGCACGGTCTCACTCATGAGCCGTTTCTTTTTTGGACTCGAGTGGGTGAAATTGGGTGATGAAACTATGCGACTAATGAGTGGTTTTGAAGCCTCTGGTTTCCGGTCAAAACCTCCAAAATAGCCTCCAACACGGACTCATCCAATACAGGAGACCGCGAATTTAGGCACTTAGGCGTTTCGACAAGAGAGCCACAACTCAAGACAGCATCGCCGGAACCCCAAGGTGCATCCTAAAATTGACTGAGATGGAAGATGGATGTTCCTGCGGTGCCTGAGATGCGGTGGCTCCTGCGACGGATTTATGGCTCCGCACTCCCACTCGAAACAAAGAAGGCCCCAGGAACGGGCACTCGCTGTTTCTGTCTGGGTCTTAGTAGTTCTGAGCCAAAGTTTCCTCAGTCGCCTGGGTGGGAAAGTCTCGATTTCTCGCTGCATCGGCGAGTCTCGGATGCATCGAGCACGCCCGTGCCTTCGCCCAGGATCGCTTTGAGGACTGGAGGAGCGCCTGCGAATTCTTGGACTCGCTGCGCTTCGGAGGGTCGCGTGTGGGTGTCCTTTTTAGTTCTTTTTGGTCGAAAAATCGATGGGTTTCGATTCCTGGTTTGTTTTGGTGGTTTTATTTTCTACCAGGGAAACCCATCTATTTCCCCTAAAAGGGCACCCATGGTGGGTGGGTGGCAAAAAATCGTCGCAAACCGGCCCCTGGAGCGGAGCCCTGTGAAAGGACACCAAGAGTTGTACCCAGATCCCAGGCAAGCCAGGATGCCTTGGCAACCTGCGGGCGACGCGTACTGTTGACCCCATTAAAAAAACATATATACATATATATATATATATATATTGTGTTTTTTTTGTTTAATGATAGTAGTTGTTTAAGGAGTTTTTTTTTGATAGTTGCGTGGTCCCCTGCAAAAGCGCTCTGATTCCACATTAATCCCAGAAACACCCCCTATAAATGCGCTAGTTGGTCTGATTCCCCATTAAACCTAGAAAACCCCCCCCCCGCTATTCGTAAGCGGGTTGGTGGATTTTTGTGTCAACCTCAGGAGCCAGGGCATCGAGGTGATCCCAGCCCTCTCGCAAGGGGAGGAGTCTTGGAAAGGCGTGAGGGACGGCGAGTCGCGGGAGACATGGCTGGGGAACCCCTGAAAAGTGGCCGGTGGACATAAATCCCCGAAATGATGTCCAAAGGGTCCCGCATTGAAATAAATTCCTGCCCATGTTTTTCCGGAGAAGCATGTCTTTCCGGCGGTGCCTCATAGGTGGTTTCTGCCGGAAAGATCCGGGAGTGTCCAAGGAAATTCCTAGGCATCTGTGTCGAGGGGGCATCTCGCTCGGCGCCCGACAGTGGGCTGAAGTGAGAAAATGTTTGCCAGGCGCCACGTTGAGCAGACGTTTTCATGGTGATTCCCCTCCAAAGTGATGAATCCCCACATGTAGGAAGACATATTTTCCTATTCATGGTTGTTGTTGGGAAACATGTTTCCCATTTTTGCTTATGGTGGTTTAGTGGTGGACCACCGAACTGCTGAAATTTAGTTTGTTGCTCCCCTTCCAACGTCAACCAAGTTTTGAAAGCGACACCAGGAGGATGGCTCTGCCTATGGGTTTGGAGCTCGGCCAAACGAGCGCGAGAGCATGATGAAGGTCCTGGGAATCGTTTGCTTCCGGTACTTCCAGTGCTGGAATAGAACACGGGCAGGTCTGTGAGATTCAACATGTCCAAAGGTGGCAAGTCTCGTCCAACCCTTGGAATTGCAACGCATGCCAAGGGTTCCTGAAGGAACCACCGTACCACAACAGTGGTTTCAACAACACACGTCACTGGCTTTTAAATGAACTAAGTCCCCGCTGTGGTGGGAAGGGGGGTGCAGAGACACTGTGATGTTCAGGGCAATAATCGATGGACCTCATAGAAATCGGTGGTTGCCCCAGAACTATGGGCTGTTCCATTTCTTTTATTAAGGGTAGTTTGAGGCTCTAGGGAGGTGCTCGGGCCATCCCCAACAAAACAAAGAAGAAATACATTTTGCAACCATTTAAAACATGTTGTTTTTTCAACACCGACATATAGGGAAACCACCATTTACAAGTTGCAATGTTCAGGTGTATAAGGTAAGGATCCATTGGAGCGAAGCGGCGCTCGGTTCGCAGGGCGCCGCGGGTATGTGCAAGAGGTCATGCGCGAGGATGAGGAGAATCGGGTCATCGGCCATCGGGTAAACGGGGGGTTTGCCGCGGGTTTTTTGGGGGCACGGCTACTCCGAGAACTGGGCTCCGGCGCCACTTTTTGGGACAAACGGATTCGGAGCCTTCTCTAAAGGGACCTTTTTTGGGCAGCAATCGGTCGGGAACTGGGCTTCGGGGTTTTTCTTGGGGGACCCTTTTTAGGTTGGAACGCCAAAGGGAACCCCCCCCTCCCCGACCTTTGAAGATAAGGTCAAATTGAGATTGAGGGTTTGACGGCACCATGCGTCAGAAGGAGACTCCAGTTTTGCAGGTTGCTGCTTTGCCTACAATGGAAACTCCGATGTTCATTTCCCCAGGCCTGTCGGGTTTGCACCCCCATACAGGCGTGGGGAAGGGCGGAGAACTTCATCCGAACCGTTCCACCCACGGCTCAATCCGCAGATCTGGGTACGGAAGGATTTGGCATAGTGATTTCACAGGACCTAGGATTGGCAAAGGCCAGCAAGTGATAGTCAAATGGGCCATCCCAATTTTAGGACTCTTCTCATGTGCAGAAGATCAGGTGAGTCCCTTTGAGAGTGCTGAGGTTCTCGCTGAAATGGCGATTTCAATCGGCTTGCCTTGTTCAGTTGGGCCATCCTCAAGATCCTTCCCTTGGATTTTGTCTAGGCGCCCATTTCTAGATGTTTAGGGATTATCGCATTGGCAAGCCCTCCCACATGAAGTCATGCATTCTTGATTCCTGCTTGGCGAATTCCAGTCCTGAGAAAAAAACAGAAAAAGAGTTATCTACCAAGTCCGAGAGCGTCGCGGGTGAGCAACAATCCCTGGCGCGCGCAGTTCCAGTTCCTGGCTCGGAGTTCCCGGGGATCCAACTCCCAGTTCCAAAGCAAGATGTCGGTCCCAAGAGAGCATCCCTGGATTCCCTTCTCGAAGTTCCCCTTGCTTTAATTCTTCATACCACAAAAGACTGTTTCTCAAAAGTCAGGTAGCATGGACAAACTTGGCACCAAAGTGCCCCACCAGATGTCAAAAAAAAAGAAAAAGGGGGGAACAAAAAAAAAGAACGAGAGGACCCAGGTCAATCACCCTCAGACTTTGCTTGGCATGGGCAAACCACCCTTTGGCTTCTTCGCTTCCTTTGCAATGGGCGCCGGGGCAGCCACTCAGCGAGTGGCGCCCGCTGACTGGCGGGAAGTGCCTTGGGTGCAAGTGGCGGCAGGTTTGGGCATTGACGTTTTTTTTGTTTTGTTTTTAAAAATATAAATCCCTGAGTTCATGGACTTGGTTCATTTTGTTGTAACCCCAGCCACTCAGAAAGTGAGTCTTTATTTACCTACCCGATCCAGTTTGGGGTGGACGGAGAACTCCTCACGCCCTGAGTTCATAGACTAGGTACCCCAGACTAGCCGCATTTCCCAGGAGACTCCAGGTGAGTGTGTTGCAGTTCTGGGTTTCTTCCATTTGCTGAAAAGAGTATTTGTTTTATTTTCCCCTGTTGGTTTTAAAGGGGAATCAATTTCACTACAGGAAGGGGACTTAAGCAAATGCAAGCCGGAGTTCATAGACTTTAGCCAGTTGGGTTTGGACCATCTTCTAGGTCACCCAGTGCCCTTCTCTCCCCTTTTGTTGGGGACGGTTCCACTACTGAAATAGACAAAAAAGAAAAACAATTGGTACCCTTTTTGTAACCTCTCAAATCTGGAGGATAGTGGACTTTCACCACTTTTTGGGTTTGGGCCATCTCGAATCGTACAAGAAGCTTTTTGACCCCAGCCACTCAGGAAGTGCGTCTTCCTGTACCCTGTGGATCCCAGCTAGCATTCTCCAGCCTCCAAGTCCACTTGGCTGTGGCTCCAAAAACTGGAGCCCCTTTTGGGGGCCCCTTGCATAGAAACAATGACCAAAACCTGCGCAACCCTAGCCACAGAAATATGGGGGTCATTGGGTTTGGTTCGAGGGGGTTCGTCACTTACACATCTTTCAGATCCACAAATAGGAGGTACCTGGACGCTTTGGGTACAGTGCGTAACCCTGCCATTTTCCTTGCGTTCTTAACGGGTGCACCTTTAGTTACCTACGGAATCAGGGTGTATTGGTATGTTTTATTGAGGGTAGACTTTTGGGGTTTTGAATGGACACCACAAGGAATCTGCATGCTTACTTGCATGCAACAAACTCAGAGGTTTCCGTTCTCCGTGTGTGTGATGTTTTGCGCAGTTGATGTGAGAATCGTTTTTGATGTTCTCCGCAGCGTTTCTGTTTCCCCCAGGTGTTTCTCGTTTTGATGCTTCACATCTTGTAAGAAAAGAACTGTTTGTTACTATTATGGGGGTGTTCCTGGTTTTAGTGGGGACTCTGACCACTTTCGGGGCCCAAAACCACGCCCAATGGTAACATGTTTTGGCCAGTTCTCACGGCTTCGGCGCATCCGAGGTGAACTCAGGCTGGAACCTCAGAATTGAGGCAGCTGAGGCGGCCTCAGGTCTTGATCTCCGGAAGAAAAGGGTCAATCATGCCGGACCTGGTGGATTTTTTTCGTTTGGTTCGGGTTCCTCAATCCTTTCGCGGAACTCAGTGGTAGTTGTTTTTTTGCGTTTGGCCAGGGTTTTCGAGCCATTTCCCGTTTCGGAGAAGATCCAACGCGGGAGTTTCAATGGAACCTGCCAGTCAATTGATCAACTTTTTGACTCGGGGAAATCGCGTCCCATGTTCCCTTCTGCCTTGGCCGCTGAACTGGTATAGGTCACCAGATATTGTCCATTTGGGCTGGTGGAGTTTTGCGACATGAGCAACAAAAGTCCGATTCGCACTAGAAGTGTATTCAACTCGTAGGGCTTGTGGCCAGTCGTGCGAAGTCGATCACTCCATCAGCACGACCCCTTTTTGGACCAAGTGGCCGCCTCCGAAACGGGGCCCTTCCCTTTTTGCAACCCGCCCTACTTTGGAACCTTGAATGTCTTAAAGGAGACCCGCAAAGGGTCTATGTCCCTTCGTCTTGCCTTTCAATCAGCCCCAGACCCCAAAAGAGAGTGCCCTCAGAGACATTTAACCCACGAATTGCCCCACGAATTGCCCCCCCTGTTTGAGGAATAGGGGGTGTTCCATTTGACGGATGCTCCATTCACCTTCGGGGCAACACTATGAATCCACCAGGTTGATTGATCCGTTGTCAACATTCGCTTTGGGTTCAGGTCCTTGCGCCTGGCTCAGAACTTTCTCTTTGAATGCGTAATAGCTGGAAAAGCGACCGACCTCACCAACAGCTCTGGTCTCGTCATCAACTTCCCCCAGTTTCCTTTCTTGCAGGTCTACCCTTAGTTCAGGTGAATCATTCAGCCGGATCACTTGTGTCACGTTTCGTGTTTCTGAGGCCGCGATCCATTCGGCGGCGAAGTGCCAGCGGAAGGCGTCTGGTCACTTGCAAAGGGGGCGGGGTGCATGGACCTTCCAGTGGTGCATGAGCATATGCATGCATTGACATGTGCAGGTGTGTATGATAATATGTATATATATATATATAATGTATGTGCATTATATATATATACACATGCCTATTTGTATGATACATAGGCCATGGGTGTCTCTCTCTCTCTCTCTACACATATATATATATATATTTATAGTATGCCCTTTCCGGGGCCCACCCTAAACCAGAAAAAGCTTGAACACGGCGAAACACAACAGCACAGAGGCAAAAGCAAGGTTGCAGCGCCTCCCAAACGCCGGCGGTGTCATCCGTTTTTGTTCTCTTCATTTTTGTTCCGGTCCACACAAAACAAAACGCTTTTTTTTTGCTTCGCAAGTGCTGTGCGCTAAAGATGAACAGAAGGGTTCTTAGCGCTGCTCACACGTGCTAGCAGTTGTCCAGGGAATGTCATTTCAATTCTTGTAGTTTACAGGGTTTACTCTGAAAGCTTCAAGCTTAAGCAGCGCTTCCATTAGAATTTAACTGGACGTCTATTATAAACTAGATTTTAGACAGGAATGCCTTCCTTTCAAAGTCAACTGGAACTCCTATTTTGATAAGATGTCAATAGGAATGTCTTTCCAATTAGAATGAGGAAAGGCAGGCTGGTTGCTTCTTCTAATTTTACTGCCCTTAAAAGAAGTGAAGACAACAAAAACTATCTCAAGGTAATTGCAATTTCAGCCCAGTGTTATTTGCAAGGCTTTTTAAGTTTAAGTCGGACATTCAGTAGAGTTCAATTGGATTTCTTGTCTTGAAGCAGGTTTTAAGCACCTGTAGGAATTTATTTCCATGTTTGAATTGGAATTGACATGGATTTCTCATGTTGAAATAGCATTTGGATAGGAACTCTTTTCCAAGTAGGAGTTTAGTAGAATTCAAATGGACAGTCCATGTGGAATGCGATCTAAAATAGGAGTTTCTTTCCAAGTATTGTTCTAAATGGAAGTTAGTTCTAATTCAAGCGGATCTTAGTGAGGAAGGACACGCTGGCTGTGTCTTCAAGTTAAATCCATTAGATGTATTCTGCGAGTGCCTTTCAGGCCTTTCTTGGGGAAATGTTTGACCACTCTGTCAAAGGCCTCTGAAGGATCTGCTTTGCATTGTCAAGGTGGGTTACAGGGAGGTAGCATATACACATACATATACATATATATATATATGCTTGTGTATACATGCTTATTCTCATCTTGCCTTTCACATATTATACATATATATATATATATACACATACTGTCTATGTGTACCATGTACAAGCATAGCAGTGTCCCTGCTGGCGGGAACCTACTCAGCAACTGACCTCTGGTCATGTGGGCAAGGACCTCTGTTTCACTCATCATCTCCGGCAGTACACTGACCAAATGGCCACGCAAATGGAAGTTGTTTTGGCCAATTTCCCTGAGTGGGGACAGCTGGAATGACAACCAACCAGGTGAGAGGGAAAACGTGTAATGCTGACTGCGGCTGCGGAGCGTCATTGGTGCTCGTGTGTTGCTTTTCTTACAGCATGGGGAAACAACGAGCTGAACGCATCG